CACTCTCATACATGCACACACACCTCCACACATGTGCATTCACACACATAATCTCATTCATACACACATGTACACACCTGCACAGACGTGCACATTCACAGGCACAGACATCATTCATACACTCATACACACATGCACACACTCCCCTGCACACACATGTGCACATTCAGACACACAGACATCACTTATAGACACACTCACAAATATATACACATTCACCTGCACACACATGCACACATTAACACGCACAGACATCAGTCTCTTACACACACACACATTCACCTGCACACACATGTACACATTCACATGAATACAGGTATCACTCTCATACTTATACACACATGCACACATTCACCTGTACACACGTGCACACATTCACACGCACACATTTTTCTCATGCAGACATACATACATGCACACATTCACCTGCACACACATGCACACATTCACATGAATACAGGTATCACTCTCACTTATACACACATGCACACATTCACCTGTACACACGTGCACACATTCACATGCACACAGACATCGGTCTCATGCAGACACACATACATGCACACATTCACCTGCACACACATGTGCATTTCACACATACACAGCCACATTACATGCATACATCGTCCTCATACATTCACACATGCACTCACACTCACCTTCACACATGTGCACATTCACACACCAGTCATATAGACACACTCATACACACATGCACACATACATGCACACACTCTCATACACATGTACCCACAAGCATCCATGCAGACTCTTGCACAGGTCCACACACTCACCTGCACAAAAATGTGCACACACTCACATGCATACATACATTGCTGTCAAACTCATACACATATATGCACACACACAAACATATGTACACACATATATTCTCATACACATGTACACACATACATATGTAGACACCTATACACGTGCACACTGGCACACATATACAAATACACATGTACACATAGACACAACACTCATACACATGTACACACATGCTGCCACACATGTACACATACATGCACACGATACACACATCCACACACATCCACATGCACCTGCCCGCATGTACATACATGCAATACACACATGTACACAGCACACACACATACGTATTCTCATACACATGCATTCTTGTGCCAGCTGCTCACACACACACACACACAAACCACACACATGCACATGTGCCTACTCTCGAGCATGCACATACACACATGCATGCACACTCACACGTGCATATGTACACACACACGTACACTCTCTCTCACACACTCTCTCTGCACACATACACAGAATGATACACGGTGAGTCTCCACAGACCCAGAGGCCCGCAGGTCTCATGAAGTGGAGGTGACAAAAATTCCAACGTGTCACTGTCATGGGACACTCGGTGTGTGCATGAGACGTACACATGAAAGCATCTCTGAAGGAGGGCTGCTGGAATGAGAGTCCGCCATGGTCCATTTATCACGTGATGAAGCCAAGCAAATTATTCATAGACAAGAAAAGTCACCAGGGTTAGCACTGGGAAATGGAAAATTGCCCCAAGCCATCTATTTTGAAAGTCAGAGCCTGCGCGTGCGCGGGGCTCCCATCTCCCAAGATAGAACAGAGGAGGCAGGGAGCTCGGCCCAACAAGGACACGGGGAGTGAAGGGAAAGGGTGCCAGGAAAGCCACGAAGCCACTGCGGGCCACAGCACCACATCCACCAGGTCACTGCAGCCTGCCGACACTAGAACCTCCGCTCTCTGGCTGTGGCTTCTCAACTCAGCAAAACTGAAAGCCCGACTCTGACTTGGCCTTGATTTATTTTGCTTGGTTCTATATTGGATACCCAATTCCTGTTTCATGGTTCAAACATTTGAAAAACAACCCTCAAGATAAAGCGTGTTCTTCAAAAAGAATTTTAAAAATGTAGAAAGGCAAAATGAAGAACCAAAGCCAGTGATGATCCCACTGCCCCTAAATAACCCAGGCTGCCCTGGGTTGCCACCACCCAGCAAGCCACTTGACGTCCACCCACTCAGCAGGGCCCAGAGTGAGGGGCCCCCAACATCCAGGCTGCCCCTCAACTACGACTGTGCCATGTCTGCACACAACAGCACGGCAAACCCAGGACCCTAAGGGGCCGTCTTTCCTGCACCTAACTGCGTGTCTGAGTGTGGCCCTGGGTATCCAGCAGATGCTGGCTCCTGCAAGCTTCTTAGTGGTGAAAACTTTCTTGTACGTACAGCCTACAGATCAGACAGCTTCCAGAGAAAGCAGGGGCCTGGGCACGCCCACTACACCTGTCAGGGGCCACGCCGTGAATGCATCAGACTCTCGGCCACACGGCCTCTGTCCCGACCACTGGGCCTGGCTCCCCAGGAATGCTGCCCCGAACATCACTCAGGTGAGCGGGTGTGCCCATACTGCAGTAAAACTGTACTTACAGGCAGGCACAGCAGCCTCCATTCACTGCTAATATTCCTGTTTGTGAGTGAAAGATTGAGGGAGCCCTTTCAGATGGCGAGAGGTGTTAGCAACACAGGGAAGGGTGGTCAGAGCATGACGACTTTTAAGACACTGAAAATATGATATCTCAACGTTTTCATTTGCTAATGGCAGATACTTTGAGCGAAAGCACAGCTTTAGGAACTTAAATGAAACAGGAAAATATGGTGATAAAGTCTAATTTTTGTGGTCTGTTTGGGATCTTTGGTTTGGATGTATTCCTCATCACGTAGATGCGCTTTGTCTATAGTCCCGGCTTAAAAGCCAGGAAGAGTTTAGGTCCACAAAGCAAGGGAAAGACATGGCCCTGCAGGGGTGGTGCCAGCGGGCAGCCGGCCAGGCCAATGTCTGCTGACATGCAGCCCTGGAGGGCAGCGGAGGACCCGCGCCTCCCGTCCAAAGGCAGGGCTGCGCCTGGCTCTAGCCAGTTGCTGGCCCTGGGGAGCAGGCCCGCTGGCCGGAGCTTCTGCTTTTCTAAGACTGGCCGGAAGTGGGGATTTTGATGTCAAGTTGCTGGACCTTTATGATGAGGACACCTGTTCCCACTTAGTCCACTTTTAATCAGACCAGTTGGCAGGAGCTGCCCCGGCGGCCACCTGCCCCACAAGCAGCCGTTCCCCTCACTGCTGCTTCTCTTCCACCTAGAAGATAGCCCCTCCCAGGCCCACGGCACCCATGCCAGGTCCAGCTGCCTCTGCATGATGGTCACTAGGTGGGGACCTCCCTAGGCAGGAGGCTTGTGCCACTGTGGTGCCCATTGGTGCAGCCCAAGAGGCCGTCCGCTCACAGCCTGAGGGTCTGGGGGAGGCCACCATGGGCTGGACCAGAGCTGAGGGTCTGAGGCGGGAGGGGTGAGGGGGCTGGCAGTCTCAAAGCCAGGAGAGGGTGCCTGGAAGCCTGACTTCCATCAGCCACAGGGAGCCCCGGCAGGTTCTGGAGCAGAGAAGACCCCGGTGTAGAGGGATGCCTAAGCTCAAGGACATAAAACAGTGGCCACGTGGCCTGCAGAGCCCTGGAAAAGGAAGGCTTAGAGCAGGACCGTGGCGGAGGCGCAGAGAGGGAGGCAGCAGGGAGGCGGCAGGATCCCTGCTGGGAGCGAGCAGCCCTGGTGGACGCTGGGCTCAGAAGGGAGGGACGGATGGGCTAGGGCGGACAGACACAGCCCCACTGTGAGAACAGCTTCCCGCTGTTTGGCCGATGACCCCCATGAGCAGAGCACAGCACGGGTGCAACTTACTTCCTCCACAGGGCCAGGGGCTGCTCGGGTTCCTTCTCCGCAGAGCCCAGGGATGCAACAAGTGCTAGGGGCCAGGCCAGCAGCATCATGGCGGCGGCAACCAGGAGCCGGACCGGGAAGAGCGTCAGCGTCATGAGGGCCACCTGCAGACAGAGGGGGTGTTATCTGGAGAATTCACGCGGGACGCCAGCCAGCTCCCCACCCGGCGGAGGCCAGCCCAGGGGGACAGCGCGCCCTGTGGAGTGGAGAGCTGGGGAGGGGCTGCAGCTGGCACACAGCTGACCAGCGCTGACCCAGGCAGAGTGGCACTGAGCAAGGCTGACCCAGGCTGACTGGCACTGAGCAAGGCTGGCCCAGGCTGACTGGCACTGAGCAAGGCTGACCCAGGCAGAGTGGCACTGAGCAAGGCTGACCCAGGCTGACTGGCACTGAGCAAGGCTGACCCAGTCAGCAAAGCTGACTGGTGCTGGTGCTGACCAGCCCTGACCGAGGCTGGCTGACACCCTCCATGCCCACTACCAGCTTCCTGCCTCCTTACAGGAGCCGCCATGCAAGTGCCTTGGGAACCACACAGTGGAGCTCCCTCCTACAAATTCAAGGGCCCCTCTGACCCATGGTACATGCCCCCAGGCAGCTCTGTCCCCCAGGATGCACTCCCCACCCCCCAGGCCTCACTCAGCAGTTTCCCCTGAAATCGTTTAGGTGGACGTTATAGTGTGTACGCCGGCCTAGGCAGTGTTGGTGACATGGGGAGGTAGCTGGCCTGGAGCTTGCAAGGTTGGCCCTCGGACCACAAAGACGGCAGAATTAAGGTGTGGCTTTCCAGCCCGTGGAAGACCCAGTGTAGGTGAGTGGACTGGCAGGAGGGCAGTGGCCTAGGACAGTATGGGGGCTCAGGAAGGCCCCAAGCCAGGGCAGGCTGAGGCTACAGGATCCCAGGCAGCCCAGGGTCTGAGGATGGAGGTCTCTCTGGGAGGCGGGAGGCCTCCGTGCAGAGGGGCCGGGGACGTTGGGTGAGGGGAAGCACCAGTCCTGTGGGGCAGGTTTTGTGCACAGAAGACAGAGAAGACTGAGGAGACACAGAGGGCAGCGGGCTCCCCTCGCGGCAGCCATCCCTAATTTCTGACACCTGTCATGACCGCTCCCACTGTTTCCTGGGTTTGTCCCTAGATTCTTCTGGGTTCTCAACTGAGACCAGCAGAGCCCAAGAGAAACTTAATGCCGGCCACATGCGTCATTTTAAATTTTCGAGGGGCCACATTGAAAGGTAATGATGATTTAATATACAGTTCATTTTGGCCAATATATCTGAAATATCATTTCCACACATACTCAACGTAGAAGCTGCTCCTGGCTGGTTTGCGTTTTCTCACGCTGTCTTGGATGTGCAGTGTGCATTTCACTGTCACGGCCCACGCCATCTGTGTCTCCACCCCGTCAGAGTCCAGTGGTCACGCCAGCCTGTCGGGCGCAGATCTAAACGAGGTTTGCTTTGCGAGAGATGACGATCTCTGATGTCACTCTCCTTCCTCTGCTCCAGGGGCTGCTCCTCACCCCGGCTGGGCCCCGCCTCAGCATCACGCTCACTGTGCCCAGCAACCACAAACCTGTTATCCCGCCACTGGTGACAAGTGTCACTGTTCAGCATCGTGCTACTGGCACTCAGCAAACGCCCTTTGCTGCTGGGAAACCTTCCCTGGCCTCGTCCTTCACAAGTTTTGTTTTGCTTTAAATCATGACTGGGGGGTGCTGAGCCTTATCAGAGGTCTTTCCCACCTCTATGGGAGAACCGCGTGCTGTTCCTCACTTTGCCTTACAACCAAGGTCTCTGATGGCGAGAGCTGCCTTCAGTGCTATGCGGCTCCCAGTTAGGGCTGTTTCTTGAAAGGGATTGCTGGGTTTGCTGGCTAACAGGTGCTCAGGACTGTCGCCACCAGCTGTTAAGTAAGACGCGCCTGTCACTTCCTCCCGGCGGCTTCCTCGTGTGGTCACCTTATGAAACCAGTGCGCGGCCGTGCCCACGGGCAGCTCCTGCTTGTGGCTTCACTGCACCCAGCCCCACTGTGCAGGGTCTCTCCTTTTTCTTGGGTTAATCTCACTGTTGTTGTCAATGAGGAAATCGCTCCTGGAAGGTTTCGGCGTATTTTCCCCTCCTGCTACCAACCTCTCCCAGCTGCCTTTCAGATAACGGAGTAACGCTGCCCACCACACTCTCCTGCGGATTTACACCAAGCCTGCTCTCTGGTTTCATTTCTAATGTTATCTGTGTCTGCCTACCAAAACTTCTAAGCTGACATCACCAGATACTTTTCTATTTCATTAATCTGTTTACAGAACCACTTTAGATTTGTTCATTCTCTCTGTTGTGATCAAATCATACTAATTTCGGCTCTTACGAGTTCCTCTTTCTTCTGCTTTGAATTTAGTCAAATGTTCTTTTTAACTTCTTGACGGAAAAGCCTGCATGTTATTTTCAGAAATACCTTATTTCCTGATACTCACATTTAGAACACAGCTTCCCTTGAGGACCACTCAATTTAATCCACGAGTCTACGGGCAGCTTTCCTTTATCTGTAAAATTTAGTTTTAACTATCGCGTCCTTTCCCATCTTTTGTTGCTGTTTCATATTTTGTTGCAGGGGAGGAGGATGCAGCCTTGGCCTTCAGCCCACCTAGGCATGGCTCCAGGGCCGCAGGCTGGGAAGATGCCGCTCCGGAGAGGCCGCTGCAGAGCACACGAGCCTGGCTCTGCTGTTAAAGCCAACAGCTGGCCGTCTCTTCCCGACGCGCACAGAAACGAAGTTACTGCGCAAGTTTATTTCTTATTCCCATAAATTGTTCTTAGAACCTGTTGGCTTCCTGGCACACACCATGAAGCGGTGGTAACCAGCACTAAGAGAACGTCTCAGAAGTTCCCTACTCCGACCCCGTGACCATAGTGCTCTCTGCCCACAGCCTGCTTCCCTCCACTGCCAGCGTGGCAGCCAATCCCACTACCAACACTGCTTCCACCACAGACAGTGGAATAAAATCACAGTAACCCATGGCATTCCTGAACCAGCACCAACTGCCAGGCCATTCCATCCCCAAACAACACCGGCACAAATGAGACCTGGGTGGCCAGGCCCTGCCTGCATCCGATGGTCAAGCTGATGGTTCCTTAGCAAATGGGGTTCACTGGGCCACCCAGAGGGGGATGCATTGCAGGACCATGTGAATCCCTGTGCCGGCTCCTGTGTGCGTCGGGGAAGACTGCACGACCACATGACCTTTGCCCCACACATCCCTGCGCCTGCTCCTGTGATCATGGGGAAGACTGCGTGACCCCCTGAACCTCGGCCCACACGTCTGTGCACCTGCTCCTTCGTGCACAGGGAAGACTGCGTGAACACGTTATCTACTGTGCCTGACCACGTGACCCTCCCCACCCGTCAGTTCGCCTGCTCCTGTGGGGTCCCGGAAGGCTGCGAGACCGTGTGACCCTCCACCCACACATCCATGCGCCTGCTTGTGGTGCAGTGGGGGAATGCAGCCGGTGCTTCTGAGCTCAGTGGCAGCTGCGAGAGGGGCCTGTGAGCCACAGTTGCAATCGCTGACCATCAGCAACCAGGGCTGATGAGTGGAGGGTGGAGATGGAACACGGCCAGTGAGGAGCTCCCAAGGCCTCCGGCAGTGCTATGAAAACTGCTTGGAGGGGGCCTCCAGGAGCCCCAGGCAGGAGGAGGTGCAATGCTCCTGGTGAAGAGCCCGGGCATCCCCACGGCTCTGCCTTTTCCCTCACCCAGCTCTAGGCCTGTGTGCTCTTTCTCTGCCAGGCTTGGCCTGCCCACAGGAGCCGGGCGCCCTGACCAAGGGGAACAGGACTGGGGAGCCTGCTGTGGCTCCTTCCAGAAGCTTCTGTGCTCCCAGCATCTTCTGTCCACCTGTCTTCCCTACAGGCCCCACCCCTGCATCCAGCCTCAGGCCTACCCACTGGGTTCCCTCCACTCCTCATGCCCCCAAGCCCTGGTGCAGATGGGTTTGGATGGACTCTGTGGCCCCTGAGCCATGAGAGGCCAGTGTGGCAGAGATGCAGATAGAAGCTGGCTGGGGCGGCTGCGGCTGCCAAGCCCTTCCGTGCTGGCAGGGGTGGCAAAGGGAGGTGCTGGGCAGGCAAAGTGTTCTTAGAAAATCCTGGCCAGACCAGAAACTCCCAGAACCAAGGCCCTCCAAGGAAGGGGGCTGGCCATGCAGTCTCCCAGGCAGCGTCACTGGAGACTCAGGGCGCCAGTGGCTGCACTGGGCACAGCCATTCCTCCCCGAGGCAGCTTGGCAGCGGCCAGAGAGAAAAAGCACACGTGTACAGACCGGAAGCCATAGGGACGCCTGGCAGAGAGGGCAGGGTTTATAGCATAATCCTCACCCAAGCGAGGCCCCGCACCCTCTCCCCACCCAAGTGAGGCCCCACATCCTCTCCCCACCCAAGTGAGGCCCCGCACCCTCTCCCCACCCAAATGATGCCCGGCACCCTGGTTCAGAGGCTCACATGGAAGCCCCCTTGGTGTCTTCACCAAAGGCAGCAGGGGCAGTGAGTGGCCCAAGATATCACTGCAAGTCGTGGACAGGGACAAGCAGACTGTCACGTGGACAAGGAGGGCAGCTGTGGGGAGCTGGAGCAGCCACCGGGCAGTGTGGCCAGAGGCTGGATGGGGAGAGAGGGAGGGACTCCGGAGGGAGAACACGGCCCATGCTTCCAGTGACCATAGGTTGGGCCACCACGTGGCAGCTAACTGGGGATGATGATGCTGTGGATGCCTGCGGACGCCGAGACCTGCACTGTGGCCCTCCCAAGACAAGCTGCTGATGGCTGTGGACCAGACCGGCTGTCACCACAGGAGCCTGATCACCCTGAGAAACGCCAGTTGGAGGAAGCAATGTGGTCACTGTGTGTGAGCCGTAAGTGAGGGTGTATAGCATGATCCTTTGAGGAACTGTGTCTGAAGTCTGAGGCTGAGTTACTTCAGCTACTTGAAAGTTGGCTACAATAAACTGTCCCTTTACAAAAGAAGGGGCATGTATGAGCATTGACAGAGACACAGTACGTTACGTGCTGAGCGGCCAATTTAACTTGGACTTGAACTTCCTGTCCTAACCTGGCACCTTTCCCCAAGCGTCCCCAGCATCCTCAGGATGTCCAGGCAATGAGCTGCCCACATGCACAGAGAGCTTTGGTATGGACTGTGGCCGCTAAATACCAGCTCCCAGCAGAAGGCCCAGGGCTCCTCAGCCAGGCTTGTTCCAGGTCATGGGGGGGAAATGCAGAGATGAAGCTGGGACAGCATGGCGCAGCCCATATCAGGGAAGCTGGCGGAGGCTCGGCGTGGGGGCTCCCAGCACCATGGTGTAGCCCACATCAGGGAAGCTGGTGGAGGCTGGGCGTCGGGGCTCCCAGCACCATGGCACGGCCCATATCAGGGAAGCTGGCGGAGGCTGGGTGTGGGGGCTCCCAGCACCATGGCGCAGCCCACATCAGGGAAGCTGGCAGAGCTCATGTCCTGAGGGCTGGCTCGGGCCTACCCAGCTCTCACACACTTGGGGACAGGTCCAGCAGCAGCCAATGCCAAGCCTGGTGCAGGAGCAGCACGGCAGCCCAGTGGGAACCCACCCTCTCTGGGTCTAGATGCAACACCCAGCTTCCAGAAAACCCCGATGACAACAAGAAGCTTCAATCAATCAGAAAATGCAGAGAGCGCCACAACACACAAAACTCCACAAAACAGCCCAAATCCATCGTCGCAAACAAGCAGGAGCTGGAGGACCCTCTTAATCCACGGGCACCAGAGCCCCGAGAGAGCTCGTTCACGCTCCACTTTGTGGGGACAAAGAAGGTGCCCTCTCTATCAACCCAGAGGAGGTCCTTGGCAGACACCAGATCCGCCGGCACCTGGGGCTTCAGCCTCCAGAACGGTGGGAAATCCGTGTCTGCTGTTGAGGGCCCACCCTGTCTGTGGTCCTTAGTGACAGCAGCCACGCCAAGCAGGGTGGGCACAGTGGGAGTTCACGTGACCCGGCCTGGCCATACACCATCCTTCTCTGGGCTGGGGACAGGTCTGGGGCCCACTGTATTATGACTGCTTTGGTGTTCTGGGTTGAATTTTGATCCCCTTCCCCACTTCCTGTTGACGTCTTGACCCCCAGAACTCCAGAAGTGACTGTTTGGAGATGGGTCTTTTTTAAAGAGATGATTCAGGTAGACAGAGGTCACGTGGAGGCCGTGATCCAACCTGCCTGCTGTCCTTATAAGAAGAGATGAGGACAGACACCCACGGAGGGCGGCCCTGTGAGGACGCAGGGAGAAGACGCCATCTGTAAGCCCAGGAGAGGCCCCAGGAGGAAGCAGTCCTGCCGTACCTAGGTCTCGGACTGCAGCCTCCGGATGGTGAGAGAACAATGTCTGTGGTTTAAGCCAGGTCTGGGGCACTTTATGACGGAAGCCTGAGCCAAGAAAGGTATTTGACATGTTTGAAATTTCCCATAACAGACGGTATAAAAGTGATGATTCTTGTTTTAAATGTAAACAGGCCCAACCTAATGCTGGCCTGGAATTCTCTAGAACTAGTCTGAGTGAAGGCACCGGTGGCCACAATGCCCAGGCCCAGCTTCCTGACGTCAGGCAGCTGGCAAACCCCTCCCTCATCTCTGCCAAGGTCACTAGTGCCATCAGCAGTTCCGGGCCCCGGCATCGCCCGGCGTTTCACGCTCAGTGCTAAACCCAGAGACACGAGGGTCTCCAGAGAACATGTGGTCCCTCCCATGTGCACGCCTACCATTGTAGCATCCGACAACGTCGCGGCTCCTCTGAGCCCAAGCGCTAGAGATGCCACGCTACAGTGCCCCAGCCAGCAAGAGGAGCTCTGGTGCACCCGCAACAAGGTGGGGGTGGGGGAAGCTGCCCAAAAGAGGTGGGCCTGGAGCCTTGGAGGGTGCGGGGTTGTGTCACCCAACACAGGCCGTGAGGGCAGATACCGAGCGCCAGCCACTCCCAAGCTCCACGGTCTGCACGGTGGAGGCAGCTCACAGGAATGCTCCTCCTGAAGGTGCAGCCAACATTGCTGCTTTAATTCTGGAGAAAAAATTCTCCTGATTCCACAGGATATGTGACAGTGCATCTGCAGATCTACAAAAGAATGTCCGCTCCTCCCACGGTGAGGGTGTGCGGCAGCGCACACGGGTGCCTGCTGTCCAGAGGCTGCCACGGCCTCATCCTGGCCGTCTCTGCTTCTCAGACGCCTCCGATTCATTCATGGAAACAGAGAGAGACTGTGCTCACAGAGCACCCCATCCCTGCGCACCATCCTTGGAGGACACCAAAAGGCAAAGAGACCCAGAGACTGGGAGGAAAAGGAAGGGTGGGAAGGCATGGGGGTGGGGCTTGCAGGCTGCTCCTCGGAGGCAGCGAGGGGTCAGGGCCAATGGCCCTCATCCCGTAGCATGACCCGGGAGCCCAGGTGCTGCACAGCCAGGGAGGGAGGGAGGTGCTCAGTGGAAACAGGGAGAGGTGGCTTCTGGGGAAGGTGAAACAGATCCTGGTGAAACACCTCGCTGCCAAAAGAACCTGCACTGGGCTGGGCTGCCTGGGAGCACCCACCCTTCTGGTGAGCCCCAGGAGGTGCTCCTGTGTCTGAGAAGGCTCTGCACCCTCCTCCTTTGAGAAGCTCCACTGGCTCAAAACAGGAAGAGAAGAGCAGGTGCATGGAGGGCGGGCACTGGCCTCCCGTCACAACCCGTCCAGGGCACGGTGTGGGCAGAGGATGCTGGTGATGCCGGGGCTCAGCAGGAGACACCTCTTGGGGCACCTCTCTAGTGGTTCTTCCACCAAGAGCCCAGGTACGACCTGTTCCGCTCAGGGCAAGGCGCCTCAAGGGGGCTGGAGGGGAGAGAGGTCCTCGCTGAGACTGGTGCCAGGTGTCCCAGGAGTTGAGCACATGGGCTGGGCAATCGGGAAGGTGGCCCCAGGCTGCGGATTTTGTTGCTAGTGGCAGCAGGGCAGGATGCCACCCAGGGTGCCACTGGGGGCAGGTGAATCAGAAGTCACCTGTGTGACAAGCATCTCTAGCCAGTCAAGAGAGAAGCTCCGAGACACAAAGGGCCCCAGGGGTGGACCCTGAGGTGTAGGCGAGGTGACCACACAGGGCACCGGGGATGGATCCCAAGGCGGGTGAGTTGAGGTCAGACGCAGCACAGGGCTGGTGCCTTGTGCCACCGGGTCAACGTTCAATTGCAACCCAAGCATTTTTGAGGCTCACGGTCCCAGGGGAACACGCAGAGGTGCGTGATGAGGGAGTGAAGTCATGCACTAGGTGGGGCCTGGGTTGAGAGCTCACAACACCGTGAGGGGCTCCCAGGCCCAGCACCCCCCAAGCCGGCCTCCAGCCAACAGCACTGAGGCCCACAGCCTCCAGAACTAGCAGGGGCCCTGACCTGTGGGTCCCACAACCCCTGAGGACACTGCAGCCTGGGACACAGAGGCACCGTGGCCACCCTCGGATGCTGAGGGGACGCACCCAGAGGCCCCAGCCTGCGCCCCAGTCCAAAAACCCAGACCACTGGGCAGCAGCCGGCGCGAGCTGCTCATGGACACTGCCAAATAGAAGGAAAGGCCAGTGGGGCCCGAAGAAGTGGTGTAAGGAACAATACAGCTCTCTAACAGCCAGCCCCAAATAACCCACCCAGAATGGAGTGCGTATGGCACTCCAGAATTCACTGAGCGGGATGCAGAGATGGGTAAGGCCAGGCCGCATTTCCCCATGTCATCCAGAAGGTGACCTCACTCTCAGAGGGGAAGGCAGAGAAAATCCCACCAGGGGATGTAGCCGTGTGCCCCAGGAGGCTGGTGCAACCCCAGAGAGCAAAAACACCCACCCACTGTGGAAAGCCTTGTACCAGTGGGGAAAGTGAGGCCAGAGGGGACAACAGGGCAGCCTTCCCAGGTGGTCACAGGTCAGTGCACAAGCCAGGGCTGCAGGGTGGCTGGCGTGCAGGGGCTGCCCTGGGGGAGGTGGGTGGGTGTCGGGGTATCCACAAGCTTGGGACCCCCCGACTCTGTGCACTCTCAAGCCCTTGGACGGTGGCCAATACCCCCACACTGACACCCTCAGATGCTACTCAGTCCCCGCAGGTGTGCAGGGCTGGCGGGTGACCTACCACCCTGCCAGCTGATGTCCCAAACCCAGCCCCACGCAGCCCCGCTCCAGCCTTCCCTTCTCAGGGTACTGCCATTCCTATGGCCCACTTTCTCTCTCCCCAACTCCTGTTGGGCCTCCTCCAAAATGGACCCAGCACCCACTCCCTCAGGTGGCCTCCTAGCCTTCTGCCTCTGGGGCCACTAAGGCTGGCTGGCTCTTCTGCTGGGGAGAGGGGCCCCTATCTGGCAGGGCAGCTGGAGCGCTGGATGTGCAGGCCCACTGGGGAAGCCAGGGCTCCTCCGGAAGCGAAGGGAATGGCAGCTTCTGGGGCCAGCTCGTGCCGTCCTCAAAGGCCACCCCGGGCGTCTGGCCTCAGTCACCTCCAGACTCCCCTGAGAGGCCCTGGGGACAGGGTCACGGGCTTCCTGAAGCAGATTAAAGTGGTGACAGGCAGAAGGTGCAGGGGGTGAGCTGGACCCACTACCCAGGGAGCAATCTTGGTCACTCTTTTTGTTGCTTATGAATTAACGGAAAGCAAGCTATTTGTCACCTGATTTAGATGAGACACAATCCCCCAGAACAGAATGAGCAGAGGGCCCTGGGCAGTGTGAGGCCCCACACAGACTTCACAGACTCACAGAGCCGCTTGGGAATGCTTCAGATCCTAGGACCGCTCTCGACATGGGCAGGAGGGAAAAGTTACATCTAATTTCATTTTGCTTTTTCCTTTTAGAGAAAGAACGACTTTTGAAAGCGCAGCAGTTCTCTCAGGCATCCCAGCGGAGGCGGCAGTCACGCCCTCCGCATCGGAGACTGGCGGGAGCTTCGGGACTTACCGACTCCGTCCAGCACCCACAGACACCACCAAAGGAGGGCAGCGGCAGGAAACGCCCTCCTTTCCCGTCTCCCCCAATCACCAAAACACCTTTATTCATGCCTTCTGGCCCAAATCAAACGCTGCATTTAAATACGGAATCAGCCATCACGCCCACAATTAATTCTGAGTTACAATACTGAAAGCAGACGTGAATACGGAAAACTGGCACCGTGAAGCACGCTGCAGGCTCGCGCCACATGCAGCCTTCGGAGCCCAGGGCACCTCAGGAACCACGGATCCCAGGTGAGGCCTGCAGGAGGTGGGAGGGGCTGCCAGGAGCGCCCGCCGTCCGCAGGGACACTTTCATCAGGAGGAACGACTTATTTTTACTGGGTATTCCCACTTCTGTTGTGTAATTTGCTCATTTACATGAACGTGTATAAAGCTTTTGCCAAATTTGCAGTGGGTTTCTTTGTGTTTTTCTCCCTGGCCTGTGAACACCCATTGTTTCCTTGACCTGAGATTTCAGCCACGTCACACTCCGGAGCTTCTCGCCCCCACCCCGTGTGACTCCAAGGAGGATCTGTGCCTCCCGACGGGAACCGCTCCCCCAGAGCCCGTGCTTACGGCTATATATAAAGCTGTTTCTTCTCTGCTCTCCCACTCACATCTAAAATTAAACATAGCTTTTCTAAAACTGAACTATTTTTCCTTTCAAACCCTCAACCAGCCGCACCAGCTCATGCTGCTGTCATCGCTACTCCGCAGTCCTCACCAGAACCCTCAGCACCGGCGCCTTCGAGGTAAGTGTATTCAGCAATTCCCTCTGAATTTGCAAATCGGCCCCGCAGCCCCACACAGCTCAGTGATTTCCCTAGACCACTCTATTTTCCATCCACTGACGTCTTCCAGGGATGCTGCACCCTTCTGAACGGGATCAAAGCCAGTCTGCTCTTGGGCATTCCTGCAACATGACACCCTATGACCGGGAAACCCCCACCAACACCCAAGCAGCTGCCCTGTGAGTCCAGGATACAGGGAAGGCCTGGGACCGCTGGCACAGGCAAGGTCACCAGGATGCCCTGGCATCACGCAGGCAGCACCCTGGGGTGACACTGACACCGCTCGGGCTGCTGGCGCGTGACCTGGAGGGCAGGGGGCTTGGCGGGGTGCGAGTGTCTCTGGAGCAGAGACCGCTCTCTGCAGCTCAGCAACATCATCCCACAGACACTCGAGGGGGTCACACTGCCCCGGCCCAAGAGCACCCCCACAGGAGCGCCTCCCTCTCGCTCTCTATCCCGGCAGCACCCAGTGTCTGTGCCTCTTGCAGAATCGTACCCCAACCTCTGGGGAAGCACCCTGCAGGCACCCGAGAAGACACAGCTTGCGGAAGTGCCCAGGGAGGGCCACATCTCGACTCTTCACCTCGTGTGCTACAAACGCAGATTCCTGGACACCTTGTCACCTTGGGAATGAGGCTGTGCCCTGCAGGCTGGCTCCCTCGGGCCCCCCCGAGCTAGCTACGGCCTACGAATTCACCTGGATCTTCCTCCCATCAGGGCTGCTGCTGTCTGCACTGGGGGCGCCCTAAAGCCCTGGCTCACGCCTGCGACCCCGCACAGGGCACGATGCCCACACACAGTTGGGGTGTGTAAGTCACTGAGTACAAAGGTGTGTGGAGGAAAACACGTTTACTCTTTCTGCAGACACGTTCTGAGCACCTGCGATGGCGCTCTGGACAAAGGGTGTCCAGATGCAGGCGGAAAGAGACCGACGGAGACCGCAGCACCCCCTGGCTCAGATGGCACATACAGGCATCCAGGTGTGGGCCTGCGGGGAAAGGGCATGGGGTGGGGGTGTGAGCTCAGCTGAGAACTCTGAAGGAGACAGTGCAGAGGCCCCGTGGAGAGAGGGCCCACGCAGGGTGGCTATCTGGGCACCACAGCCAACGCCCCAGTCCCTGCTTCAAGATGACCGATGGCAGGCAGGGGCCACGGCCAACCCACTGCTCCCCAAGGCAGCCTCCAGGTCCTGCCCACGCAGTCTCCCAGACAGTCCTCATGCCTCCTCACCTGCGAAGCTCTGCACAAATCCCCCTTCCCTAAAGTTTTTGGGGCTCCCAGCTAGAGTTCTGTCCCTCTGGTCCCCACATGAGGTCTCCCATGTCCATCCTGCAGCCCCAGACTCTAGACGTGAGATTCCGGAGCAATCCAGGCTGCAGGCTGGGAGGTCCTTCCATGGCTGGCTGGTCACCCCACGGGCTCAGCTCCTGGCAGGGCCCTGCTCATGGCAGGTGCTCACGAGAAGAAACAGGAGGGAAGGGAGCAAAAGCACTGAAAGTGTGTTCCTGGGCTGTATGCACTCCACCGTGGGAGCAGACTAAGCTCCAAAAGCAGAAACTGGCTGCAGGTTCCTCTCTGGAGGCTGCAGCGACTCGGTTACAGCTGACCTATTTCCACAGGCTGTCACCCGTGGGGCAGGACGCCGGTGATTACATTCCTCGGAAGGCAGCTTTCAAGGCACCAAGCTCCCATGTGTGGAAATGGAGCCCCGGAGCCCCAGGGGCAGTGGAGAAGCTCCAATGAGAACGTGGCCAGATGGGCAGCGCACGGGCGGGGCCCACACCACAGCTGCTGCGAAGAGGCCGGAGACGGCAGGGCCGTGCTTTGTCCCTGAGGCTGAGGGGAGCGGCAGCACAGGAGATGCCGCGGCTCAGCACAGGCCAGGCACAGGGAGGCCCCAGCCTCATCTGCCCAGTGAGCGACAGCCTAAAACAACAAACAGGGTCAAAACGCCAGCCCTGCTGCCCCAGCAGCATGGGGCCATCGGCAGGGACGGGGCCTCACAGCTTTAGAGAAGAGCCACGCCAACACCAAGCATGCGCAGTGAGAGGCAGCCTGCTTCTTAAGACTGTTCCTGCAGCAGCTCATTCCTGAGCCCCAGGCTGTGTCCCAGGACCCTGGGGGTCTGCTCCGCAGTGAGGGACTCAGAGTCCAGACAGGGCCCACAGGTGGTGAAGTGAAGCAAAGGCCACACCCTGACCAAGGTGCACCTTTTCCACACTTTAGTTCCGGAGCTGGGAACGCATCCCCGACAGGCCAAGGCTTGCAGCAGCATTTCGCTTTGTTGGTGTCTGCGGACCTCAGGGGCTGGGAACCCTGCAGGCACTGCAGACAGCGACACAGCATGCATGGGGGGCTCAGGAGAAGCGGGCTCCACTCCAACAAGACGACCTACCTGCACGCTCCGCCAGGACCCACCTTCCACCTCCAGCTGCAACAGGACCCTCACCCACACCTCGGGAACCGCAGCTCCCCTCAGGGGACCCTTCCCCAAGGCAGCACCTTTCCTGCTCAGCGCAGGCCCTGAGACAGACCCTCTCGAGGTGCCTATCTCCCTGATCTTCTGCACGGTCTGAGTAAAAAGAATCCTGAAAGTCAGGATCTGTGACATTTCCAACTGCTTGCACTTGTTTAAAAAATATCTGCAGAAAGCCAGGGGGGCCCTGGTGGAGAGCACCTCCCAAGCCCCCTGCGGTGGCAGCCCTGCCCCCAGCACAGCCTGTATCAGGGGCTCCTGCTGCAAGTGCCCCCAGCCTGCCCAGCCCATCCTACTCCGAACTGCCCAAAGATATGGGGAGTCCCCCAGCATATTCTGGCCCAGCCCCTCGAAAGCCGCAGGAGCTCCCAGACTGCCCTCTACACCCTGCCCCATACTACCTGTAGATATAGAGACCCCCTCCCCCACCAGAACATCCTGGCCCAGCCCCTCAAAAGCAGCAGGAGCCCCCAGCCTCCCCTGTATACCCTGCCTCACACTACCAGCAGATACAGGAAGCCCCCCAGAACATCCTGGCTCCCCCCATGCCCCCGAGCTGCAGGAGCGCCTCTGTCCCCACAATTCTGGGTCTGTGCCACCATCTCCAGGGAGCCCACCAAGCACATCCTGGCCCTGTCCCCAGCTATGGGAGACCCTCCACCCAGTACATCCTGCTCCCCCCAGCTGTAGGGAGACCCCTGGCCCACCAGTAATATCTCTGGGGCAAGGCTGACCCCTGGTGCTGGCCAGCGGGTGGAACAGGAGTGGGCAGGGGCTGTGGGCCCTCACAGGTATGTCCACTCCTCTGAGCACATGGAGGGACAGAGGTGACCAGCCTGACGTGCGGCTGTGGACGGAGGGGGAGGGCTGCCGAGGGCTGGAGGTCACTGCCTGGGGGCGGTTGTTGCGGAGGCAGAAATGACCCAGATCACTGGGACTTGCTGAGCTTGATGGACGCACAGGACCCACGACGATGTCACAGTGATGATTCACGTGGCGCAGAGGTGAGCATGACCCTTCCCTGATAGGGGCAGTGACTCACTGCTGCAGAAAGGTGGATCTAAGCGCTCCAGGGGTAGCCTCGGACAGCAAACAGACTCCACTACAAAGGGCCCAGGCATTCCATCCCTGATCCTCGCCCGCCCAGCTCGGCGGCATCCCCACTGTCCCGGGGCGCCAAAGTCGCGTCTGTGCTCGGACACCAGGCCTCCCCGGCTCCAGGACCCCTGCCCTCCAGCATCTTGGCCCAGCCTTGGTTCTACCCCAAGAGTTTTGAAACATTGGGAACTGGGAGAGGGATTGTTTTCTTTCTTTTCCTATGTTTAAGCTTGTATGTGGCAAATAACTTTTAAGAGGAAATCACTCACTCCTCTGGCTCTAAGAAGGAAGTGTGAAATTTAAGAGTAAAATCAAGGTTTGGAAAAGGCTGCTGTCTCCAGGTACCAGCTCCCACCCCGGCAGTGCCTCCCCACACAGGGGACAAGGGGACAGGGGACGAGGTTGGAGGGCCACCAATCACAGCACAGCAGAGACCACACTGACGGCAGCCGAGGGCTGACTGTGTGGAAGTTCAAGAACAGCACCTCACCTTCAACACAGCTAAGCTCACACTGCTAGAACACGGCTGAGCAGCCAGGGACGCGCTGGTGTTAACACAGCACACAGTATCACCCAGGGTTGCGAACGGACTTGGGCTTCAGAAGGACAAACACTGATCACATTGGAAAATCACGTAATTTCCAAACACAAGCCTAGCATCATGCTTTTTTCCCCTGGGCTCATGTTCAAAATGATCCACAGCTAGATTAAAGGTTTATACTAAAGATGCTAGAAACAGGAACCGGGAATGGTAAGCATGCCCCAGCACCCACAGGAGGCCCACAGGGCAGGGAGAGAGCAGTCGAGGCCCCAGGACATTGTGGGAACCGTGGCACTTTTGCCATGGGCCGCGTGGGGACGAGGGCCCTGGAAACAGGAAGATGAAGGGCAGGAGGGCTCCGCCTGCAGTCTCTGCGTCAGGGACAGGGACATGGCTTAGCAAGATGGATGACCTCGGGGAAGTCTGGCTTGGACACTCCCAACCAGGCACAGCCAAGCAGTACAGCCCAGGGTGCTTCTCAGACAAGAGCAGTGGGAGCCGTGCTCTCCACTGCCTGGGCCCTTATAGCACTTGAGGGCACTCCGTCCATGTGGGCACAAGAGGCACCGGCCATCGGCCAAACAGCCAGCAGGTGTGGTGGTTGAGTCCTGCGCCCGGCACCTGCAGCAGGGCTCCTGAGTGGCCATTTTTGTAGGCACCAAATCCTAACACTTCTATATGAGAATTAGATCATTCAACTGCAGAGAGTACCACTCTCAGGAAGAAATGATTTAAATGAAATGGAAGCAGGTAGTGACCACAGCTTGACATTTTCTAAAGAACACCGTTCACACAGCAACAGGGGGGACATTTGAAATTCAAGAGTCAAACTGAGGTTTGGAAAAGGCTGCCGTCCCCAGGCAGGAGCCCCCACCCCTGGCAGTGCCTCCCCACACAGGGGACAAGGGGATGCAGTCCTGGGTGTCAGTACTGCCTGGGAATGGGAAGGTGCCACCTCACTCGGGCTGATGTGGGAAGAAGGAAGCTGTGTCTGTAGGAAGTGCGCAGAGCAGGGTGCACGTGTAGGGGAAGAAAGCGGCTCCCACGGCTCACGCCAGACTCGAGGCCTGAAACAGGCCAGAAGCTGCAGAGTGTAAAAGTTGGCCCAGATGAGTGCTGACGATATAAAGATGAAGGGCTCTTTCTCACAGTGAAACAGGAGTGCAAAGACAGTGTCCGCTGAAGACGAGCTTTACGCCACAATCACAGATTTCTGCGTGAAACTGATGGTGCTTTGCTGTCAGCTGTAAAACAAAACTATGTTTGTGCGCTTGTATATGTGGGGATGCTTGTGTGTACGTGTATACCTGCATGTATATGTGTGTGTATGCCATTATGTGTATGTGTGTGTATGCGTGTATACACACATATTCTCATATACACACTCGTGTTAGAAATCCAAGTTTTAGGATAGAAGCCTATACAAAATGAAAAGTAAACTCTTTCCCAATTTTGAATCCCCCTTCCCTCTTCTCAAAGTTAACCACAAATAGGTTTCATGAGCGCATCCTTTCAGAAAATTAGAAAGGGTTCCTGGAGCGCTCTCGGTGACTTAGAGCATAAAGCCAGTTCCCTAAGATCAGGGCTCCTCGTGAGCTCAGGACAGGCGTCCACGCTAAGCCAGCCCACGCTGCCCTCCCTGCCTGGGAGACGGCATAGCACCTGGGCCTCTATGTCCTTACCTGTTCTTCCTGGGACAGAGGATGACAGTGACCAGGGGCGAGGACATGCGAAAATGACCCCTGGGCCTCTACTGGGCCAAAACAGCTGGCACCATCACACCCAGATCATCAGAAGGCGGCTGGGGGCTGAGGGCCTGGCGCTGTCTCCAAGGTCTCTGAGGCCGGCCTTCTCCACCCTCCCCAAGGGACAGGCACTCTCCTGCGTCTCCTCCATGGGCTGTGACTGCCTGGTGTTCCCACAGGGTATCTCCTTGGGCCACCCCACCCCTCCACGCCCGCTGCACAACACTGGGGCTGAGCCATGAGCAGAGCCATTCTTACTGAATCCAGGCAGGCAGCACCCAGGGATCCAGTGGGCAGCCGGCGTAGCTCAGAGAAGCCTGAGAAAGCCCATCCCTGTGCATGTGTGCTGGGGGCACCAAGGGTCAGGAACACTCTGCAAACGCGGCCATCTGCATGAGGAGCCCGGCGAGGTGGCAGGCACAGGACTCCCTGCTCCACAGTGGCCACACAGGACTTAGGAGTGAGGCTGAGAGAGCAGAGTCCTGCTCCTGAGTTTTATAAAACAAACCGTAACTCAGGCATTTGTATAAAAATGTGGAGAAAAAGATGGCCCACTTTTGGGTAAATTCCATGCAGGGCCACCAGGCAGGGAGGGGCAGAATCTGTCCCTGAACTCAACCCTCACCCTAATCCTTTCTGTGGATTAGCCGGCGTGGGCAAGCGGGCACCCAGCAGCCTCCTCCGCTCTGAGCTAGCGACGCCCGTCCAAGGCCTCAGCTCCAAGCTGCATCAGGCTTTCCAGGAAGTAAGTTCTTGCCGACTCTGGCTCTGAGCTGCACAGACTTTGGAAATGGGGCAAATGCATCAGAACCAGGGTGGGAAATGCTCACAGCCACAGATTCCAAGGGGAGTTCCGTGAAAACCCTGGGTGACAGAAAACCACTTCATGACTTCAAAACAACACATTAATGTGTGACTATGAAGAACTTTAGCTGAATTCACCAAGACCCTGCGCCATACTGTTCACCGTCCTAAACTCTATGTCCTTGCTTTAGCCAGGGGATTACAACATTGCATGTATTACAGACCCTGACGGCTTTGGTACCTCTTTTCAGATCTTAACGTGCTGTTTTCTGTCCAAAGACATACTTAAGCTCCTCACTAAATCTGTAGTTAAATGACAGATGGGCTGGCTGGAGAAGGAGGTGTCCCCACATGGCATTAATCCGAAGACACCCAGCAGCCCCTCCCAGGGGGCAAATGCTCACAGGTAAATGCAGGTACTCACTGATTTATCTCAACTGGGAACTTAGCTGGGTTTCTGATGGTTCTCAAGTGTGTCAGGCACTACTGGACCAGCTTCTTTGGGTAAGAAAGATAGGCTATTTCACTCTGTGGAAACTTTATAAGAATATATCACATAAAAGTAAAAGCTTTGCAAAGCAATGCTTGGTGAAAAGCAGAATGTTTCTGCAGAGAGCTCTGAGAACATTTACAAACTATAGCCTTGAGCCACACACTGCAACAACCAGCAGAAGCAGCTGGATGTACAAACACGCCGAACTACAGATGGGGCCCCTGAAGCGGCAACAAGGCGCATACAAGGCCACCCTCCCTCCGAGAGGCCGAGACACCTAAAGCCAGGATCTCTGCCTGGCTTCAGCCCAAGGGAGAAAAGCTGCTTGAAGCTTCAATCTCCAATCTCCGGACCAGGAGTCTCTCGGTGACCCCCTGCCCAAGAGCCACTGGGAGCAGCTCGCTGCTCTGAGGACTTGGGGAGGAAAGCAGGACCAGGGGTTGGGCACTTCTGGCTCTGCCCTGACATCTGTACCCAAACCATGAGAGTCTCTGCCCAGCTTCTCACCAGGGCAGTGGGCGCACACTTTTAGACAAAACACAGCTCGCCCCTGTGCTCCTGCTGACCCGGGGCCGCAACTATGACAGGGATACGGAAGTGGCCTCTGGGGACCTCCAGGGAGGAGGGGCTTGATGCTTCTCCCAGGGAGCCAGGAGGGACCAGGAAGGCAGGAAGAGAGAGGACTCCTGAGGCAGCCAAGACAGAGCTGGGGCAGCAGTGGGGCTGTGAAAGCCCTGGAAACCACAGCAGGGGTTGGGAGTTCATGGGGCACCCCCGGGGACTTCTGAGGAGCAGAGCGCAGGAGGAAGAAAGCCTGCTGGGCTGAGAGTGACTCAGGGAGAGAACCTGGTGGCTGGGTGGGGTGAGGATTGAAGAGGAGGAATGGATGAGGGGCACAGGATGAGCGGCCATATCCCAAGCCCTACTTGGAGAAGCACAGCGCTCGGCAGGGGACGGCATGCGGCAGGCGGAGGCCCAGGCAGAGCAGTGGGCACAGGGGCCAGCAGGCAGAGGGGCCGGCTCCGGATACACACGGTGGCGGGGCCCAGGGCCTGGGAGCCAGGCTGGGGACGACCTCACCCTGTGCGCACGCGGGAGGGCGGCACCATTGGGCCCTCCTGCTCACCGTCCCCTTCCACGCCATGAGGACCAGCCCCATCAAGGGACTTTGAGCAAAAGCAGGCGTCCTGGGGAAGTGACAACCTCAAAGCCTGAAGAACTTTTCACTTTAGTGTTCTTTCCCATACTTTGCACATTCAAAAACCTCCGTCTTCCCGGAAATCGTATTCTCACAATTGGAAGTGTGCTCCCTGGAAACTGGACAGCCCCACAGGCAGCCGAAGCGGTGGTTGCTTGGAAGAATTGTTCTGGAGTCAAAAGGCCCTCTTGACAGTGGATCTGAGGCCACCGCAAGCCCAGCTGGCAGCCAGGTAGCGGGGACACCCAGGCTGGGCCAGCACGTCCCCGGAGGTTTCCCGCAGCAAGAGGCCCCCTCCTCGCGGCGCCGTCGGGTCTCCCCGACACCACTGTCCCATTGCAGGATCTCAGCAAACCGCTCCCTCCCACGTGGCAGCCCAGGTTGCGTAGTAAAGTTGATCCTGGTCACAGGCCAGACCCGACAAAGCATCCCTTACAACAGGAACGAAGCACGCACCCCAGAATGCGACGTGCAGCCAGAGAGCAGGGGCCCCGTGTGCCCACAGCGGACCCTACAGGGGCCCCACGCCGCCTGCGCGCCAGCCCAGGCCCGCACCCGAGGCTCACCCAGCGCCGCGGTCCCCTCCCGCCAGCGGGCCGCGTCCAGGGGTGGCCGCTCCGGAGTCTCCGGGGGGCGCGCAGGGCCTGCCAGGGCGGGTGGGGCCCGGACCAGGGACGAGCGCGGGGGCCGAGGTCGGGGTCCGGGAGGCAGAGAAAGGGGGGTGGGCCCGGTTCCGGGTGCGGCGTCCTGGGGGAGGGGCGGGACGCGGGGACCCAGAGGACGGCGCTGAGGGGCCGGGACGTGCGGGCGGGGGGCGGGAAGCCGGCGCCGGGTCCGAGGCATCGGGTGCGGGCGCCGGGGACGCGGGCCGCGGGGAAAGAGGCGCCGCCGCTCTCAGGGCCGCGCCCCGCCCGAGGCCCCCTCCCCGGCCCTCCCCGCCGCGCCTCCCGGCCCCGCACCGCTGGCGTCCGCGCCCGCTCCGGGGCCCGCGCGCCCGGGGCACCCACCTGGGCCTTCTGCAGGGCGCTGAGGCGCAGCTCGTGCACGAAGGGGTTCCGCCCGGGGGGCGCCAGCAGCCGAGCGTCGCCGGCCCCTGCGCTGGAGGCGGGGGCGGCCCGGGGGCCGCATCCCCGCAGCCTCATGGCCGCGCCGTCCCGCGTGGAGCGCAGCCGGGCTGCTGTGGCGCGGAGCGGGGCCGGGGCTGGCGGGCGCGGGCCGAGGATGCCAGGCGGCTGGAGCGGGCCGGGCGCGCAGGCGCAGATGGTGACGTGGGCGGGGCGGGCGGGGGCGGGGAAAGGGGCGGGGCGTCCCAAAGCCCCGCCTCCCCCGGCAGGGGCGGCGCCAGCCCGAGCTCCGCACCCTGGAAGCTCTTCTGGGGTCTGTGGGGTGCGGGGCGGGGCAGGGCCGGGAACGCAGATCCCGGGGGCCGCAGAGTCGCTGGGGCTGAGGCCGCCTCCCGCTGCCGCCGGAACACAGGGACCCCTGGCGGGGCCTGCGCGGGGTGGAAGGGAGGTCCCCGGGGCCCGCGAGGCTGCCACGTCGCCCCCTTCCGCCGCTCGGCCCGCCTGCGCGCGGGGACGGAGGAAGGGGCGGGCAGGCGTCCAGCTCGGGCGCTGGGCGGGCCGGGCCCTGGGTGCGCAGCCCCGGGTGCCGAGCCCCAGGCTGTTCAGGCCAAGGGCCCCCGCTCTTCTTATTCCTCGGGCTGCTCGCTCGCACCGGCGACCCCGGAAGCTGCCCCGGGCTGGGGGAGGCTCTTCCAGTCCCACGTGACTCCCGCCCGGGTCCCCTCGACTTCAGGACCCCCCAGACCTCAGGACCTCTCAGACCTCAGGACCCCCCCCAGACCTCAGGATCCCCCGCCAGACCTCAGGACCCCACCCAGACCTCAGGATCCCCCCCAGACCTCAGGACCCCACCCAGACCTCAGGACCCCTGAGACATCAGGACCCTCCCCTCCGACCTCAGGACACCCTAGACCGCAGGACCCTCGCGGACCTCAGGACCCCCTCTGACCTCAGGACTTCTGAGGCCTCAGGACCCGCAGGTGGAGGCCCAGAGGCCCAGCTCTGGGGTCAGCACATGAGGGGGCACAGCTGGTAGGGTGGTGAGACAGGGCCAAAGGCTGTGCATAGCCGAGGGCAGGACTGGGGCACGCTCTTCCTCACCAAGCAGAGCCCAAGGAGGCCCCAGAGAGCAGCCAAGGAGCCAAGGACCCCCATAGGTAATGAGTCCACGGAGTCCCCCGTCCAGGACAGAGCTGGGAAGGCCAGCCAGTGGTAGCAGCAGGCGGTGGGGACCACCCTGCAGGGTGCTGTGGAGTGCACACGAGTCACAGAGGCTCTTTCCCAGCTACCCAAGAAAAGAGGGAGGGTAGGAAGAGGAAGATGGAGGCTTGGCGGGAGGCTGGGATCCAGGGCAGCTGCTCAAGGAAGGGCCCAGGACGTGTTCCCGGGTGGAAGGCAACAGGGCAGCCCCACAGGAGACGTGGAAAACCCCCATCTCAGGAAGGAGCCAGCACTGGGGAAGGAAGGGCCTGGAGTCTGGTGTGGGGACTCCTTTTCTGCCGCAGCTGGAGAGGGTGGGATGGCCCACAGGGCGTGTGCCCAGGGGTGGGGGCTGGGACCCTCGTGTGCGGGGAGGCAGTTTTCTCCTGGGGACTGCGAGGGGTGGGGAGGAGGGGCTGGTTATGGGGAAATCAGTGCAGGCTTGGAGGAGCAGCGAGGAGGCTCATCGGCCCACACTGCCCCTTCAGGCGTAGGCTTTGGTTTTTGTATGTAATGGAACGTACTTGAGACCTGGAGGGTTCTGGAAGCTTGATTAAGAGAAGTTGGTCTTGGGCAAGGAGGTAGGAGCAGTTTTCTCTCTGTAGCAGGGAAAAAAATGGTTTATAAGGGCCCTTTAACTGCAAAAGGAGTCCCCCTGCGGTTCTCAGGAACCTCCTGGAAGCCCCGCAGCTCCCTGGGGCTGCTAACCACGTCTCTGAGGTTTCTTGCTCTGCTTTTGTTTCTGTTTTAAGGGTGTAGATTCACAGAGAATTGTTTCCTATACTCCAGGCGCATTGAGAACACAAGGCACCTGCTTGTTCAGGTGAGGCTGGGTGTTTTGTTTCGTTTGTTTAATTTTTGAATTTTGGAGTTACCTCTAGGATAGAAAGAGATGTTCTTCATTTTCTTCTAACATCTTTTTTCAGTTCTGCCTTTTATGGTTGTATTTTAATCCATTTGAAGATTTTTTTCTCTGTGTGGAGACCCAATATTCTCAACACCACTTAATCGCTGACTCCCTCTTGTGGGTCCACTTCCAGCATGAACAGAGGGTTCCTGAAGCTCCTTCTGTCCGCCCCCTCTCACCCACTGGGCTGTGCTCATTTACTCCCGCAGTGGCGCAGGCCTATTTCAGTGGCTACGCCTTCCGAACCGCGCGCCTTGGGTATCATCACAGAGCGGGTTCCTTCCTGTTGGCGCTTCTTCCCAAGAATTGTAGTAGCAATTCGGAGAATTTTATTTTTCCTTCCAAATTTTGGAAGCAAATTTTCCCAGTTGCTGAAAATTCCCACTGACAGTGTCCTTTGGAATCACATTAATTGCACAGGGCACTTCGGTAAGAATGTTACTTCTTTCTTACGGTTCATTCTCCCTGTTCCGTAAGAATGTTACTTTAGGAAGAGCTGCCTGGCCCTGGGAGAGGCAGCTTCTTTGGGGCAAGCAAGGCTCCAAGGCTTCAAAGCATTAGAAAATACAAAAAACGCTTTTAAATGAATGATGTGGAATGAATACTTCACAATTTCGACAATGAGTTTTCACCAACGTGGCTGTGTTACCATGTATTCAGATGTTCTTTCATCCCTTTTGATAGCATTTAAAAATTTTCTATATGAAGATTCTGTATTTTTTGTTAAGTTAATCCTACATGCTTCATACTTCTACAGTGGTGTAATAATCTTTTCAAACATTGCTCTTGGGCCCGGTGCAGTGACTCATGCCTGTGATCTCAGCACTTTGGGAGGCCGAAGTGGGTGGATCAGCTGAGTTCAGTAGCTCAAGACCAGCCTGGCCAACATGGTGAAACCCCGTCTCTACTAAAAATATGACAATTAGCCGGGTGTGGTGGTGCACGCCTGTAATCCCAGCTACTCTGGAGGCTGAGACAGGAGGATTGCTTGAACCCAGGAGACAGAGGTTGCAGTGAGCTGAGATCGCGCTACTGCACTCCAGCCTGGGCAAGACAGAGTGAGACTCTGTCTCAGAAGAAGATTACTCTTGACCCTTGTGTATGGATTATGTGGAGAACCACTATTGATTGTGTTGGGCTTGTAGAGGTTTTATGAAGACAGACCCCAGGGTGCAAGAGGGCACGTGGATGTTCCAGCCTGGGAGCACACAGCCCCAGCAGGAGGGACTCTGTCATGTACAGTGGATGAACTTCCTAGGCAACCACAGAATCACAACAAACAGAAAATTGTGGTGGTTTTCAGTCACCACAGACTGAGATGGTTTGTTAAGCAGTGATCCTGTCTTTCAAAGAGCAGATACTGTAAATTTTGATGAAGTCCAATGTATCAGTGTTGTCTTTCTTTTTTTCTCTTTCTTTCTTCCTTCCTTCCTTCTTTTTCTTTCTTTCTCTCTCTCTCTTTCTCTCTTCTCCTCTCTCTTTCTCTTCTTCTGTCTTTCTCTCTTTCTCTTTTTTTCTTGTTTTGAGACCGAGTCTCACTCTGTCACCCAGGCTGAAATGTGGTGGCAGGATCTCGGCTCACTGCAGCCTCTGCCTCCCGGGTTCAAGCGATTCTCTTGCCTCAGCCTCCTGAGTAGCTGGGATTATGGGTGCACACTACCACACCCAGCTAATTTTTTTTTTTTTGTATTTTTAGTAAAGACGGGGTTTCACCATGTTGGTCAGGCTGGTCTCGAGCTCCTGACCGCATGATCCACCTGCTGGGATTACAGGCGTGAGCCACTGCGCCTGGCCTATCAGTGTTTTCTTTTAGGGATTTTTGGTATTCTCTTTTAAAAATACTTACCTGCATCAAGGTCATTAAGCTTTTCTTATTTCAGAAGTTCTACAGTTTTGGCTTTACCGTGTAGGTCTGTATTCCATTGCAAGTTGACGTTTGTACACGGTATACGGTAAAGTAGAGGCAGAGGCTTTTGTAGTTTTAAATTTTTTCATCTGGATATTCAACTGTTTCAGCACCATTTGTTGAAAAGAATATTCTTTCTCCCTTGAATTACCTTGGCAACTTTGTAAAAAAAAAAAAAAAAATGTATCTAGTTGAGTCTATTCCTAGACTCTGTGTTCTGTACCTCTACAACTGCCAACATCACACTGTCCTGGTTACTAAAGCTTTGTATTAAGCCTTGAAATTAGACAATGAAAGTCTTTCAGTTTTCTCTTTTCCAAAATGTTTTGGCTCTTCCGGATTGTTTGATTCCCCATGGGGATTATTTTTTTTTTTTTGAGACAGAGTTTCACCCTTGTTGCCGAGGCTGGAGTGCAATGGCATGATCTCGGCTAACTGCAACCTCTGCCTCCTGGATTCAAGCGATTCTCCTGCCTCAGCCTTCTGAGTAGCTGGGATTACAGGCATGCGCCACCACGCTTGGCTAATTTTGTATTTTTAGTAGAGACAGGGTTTCTCCATGTTGGTCAGGCTGGTCTTGAACTCCAGACCTCAGGTGATCCACCTGCCTCAGCCTCCCAAAGAGCTGGGATTACAGGTGTGGGCCACCATGCCCAGCTAGACATTATTTATTTATTTATTTATTTAGTCATTAGACAGAATCTCACTCTGTCTTGCCCAGGCTGGAGT